TATAGTATATACCCATTATGAGCCCCAGACACAATGTTTAAATATGTTAAATTAACAGGTAGTTTGTATCAAGTCGTCCTGGTGTAGGGGTATGAATCGTTGGTCTATATAATAAAGGTCTTGAGTTCGAATCCCAACATAGACACTGGATGTTTTCTACATAAATTTTGATAGTTAGTCTTTTCCGTATAGATAATTCTAATTTTTATTGTGGCTTTGACATTCCAGCCAAAATGTTACAGAACAATGGAAAGCATGCAAAACTCAAACTAGGGTGATCTGGTAGGGGTGATCCGGCTAAGATCACCCCTGGTAGAACAAAAAAGCTGGGATGTAACTCGAGTAATCTTTTAATTGGTCTATTGACAGTTCATTTTGACTGACTTCTTGTTGCACAGGTGTTTGTAAAACAGAGTTTATTGTCATAGTTTTGTGTTTTGTAAAATATACTCAATAGTATCATATTTGTTCAATATGTGGTGTGATTTTCCAGAACACGATTTTATTAAAATATGTGAAGTTAAAAGATTTCAAAGTGATCGAACGTTCAAATATTTGATAAGTGTACCTACTAGTGTATTTATTGTTTGTGTGTAACATATTGTGAAATGCTGTTTTGTTTAAGTCTAGGTTAGTCTATGAAAAAGTATATACTATGAAATTTAGAGCGAGGGGCTTGCCCCGAGCTCTTATTTTCATAGTATATACCTTTTCATAGACTATCCAATTTTGCACATATTTACAACTCGAGTAACCTTTTAATTGATCTAGTGATAGTTTATTTTGGCTGACTACTTGTATCACAGGTGTTTGTAAAACAGAGCTCATTAACGAAGTTTTGTAAATCTACTCACTAGTATCATTGTTAAATATGTGATTTCAAAAGGCCCTTGACTCCAGAATGAAAAGATGGTAGCTGCTGGTGTAAGTATGTTTATTGGTATAAAGCGGTGTTTTAATAGCTTACATGGTAAAATGACAAAGTAAAATTGACCAAAAGCAGGCAATAATTAAATTGTAGTGGAAGCTTTACATGTCTTGAAAACATTTTTCAATTTCACAGTAAAACTAAAGCTATAATAAATTTGAAACACATAGATAGTATGCAGTGGCGGATCCAGGAGAGGAAAGGGGGGGGGGGGGGGGCGGGGGGTCCGGGGGTTTGAAAACCCCCATTTTTGGACGATCAATGCTTTTGAATGGGGACATATGGTTGGAACCCCCCCCCCCCCACCCCTTTTATCCTGGGTTGGAACCCCATTTTTAAAAATGGCTGGATCCGCCCCTGGTATGTCCCCATAGATATTCTAGCGGATAGTCATTAAAAAGGAACTACCAATAGATCAAAGATATTAAGTTTATGTTTTTTTTTTATTTCAAAGTAAAAGCTAAAAGATCTATCAGAACATGTATATACATATATATATATATATAGGTGGCACATTCTCTTCAGACATTACGGTTTTTCAATTCACGACATCGTCCTAAACATGCATGAAATATTTACCACTGGACATTAAGCAACCAATAATCAATCAATCAATTCATGACAAAATAGATCAAGTTGCCTTCACTTAATTTCCCTTCACAAGGTTTCATAGTACACACTTTTTTGTAATTGCATGGATGATAAATTATCACAATATTAAGATGGCGTTGTACTCTAATCAAGGTATAAAGATCCATATTTGTTACTCTTTATTTAAATGAAAGAAACTTGCAATCGTCAAAAGCATTTTTTAGATCCAAAGATTTTAATAGCAGGATATTTAAAAATCAATGGGAAAAAATTACATTTATATATATAGTTACAATTATTCGCCTTTCACCTGAAGATTGTTGTTAAACATGAAAGTACTTGTGAATATTAAATAATATATGTATTATCCGGCAATATTGGACTTTTTGATTTATTTAAATATATTTGTCTATACTCAAGTCTTTTAACAATTCGATATATATATACAAGATAAACATCTACATTGCAGTTCTTTGTTGTCGAGAGTTTAGTTGATGTGTTGATGTCAGTCACTCATAACAGATTTCAAGGAGAGGTTCGAATCCTAGTGGAGGCAAATGAGTTCCATTAGTAAACAGATCTAGGCACCTGATTTAAAAAAAAAAAGGAAACCACGGTTAATGAATAGACTTGCGTTACGGCAGTGGTTTTAATAGTATTGACACTTGTATAACTTAAAGGCGTAATATTGAGACGTTATGCATTATGACTTCTTGTGCATTCAATTACAGGGTTTCGCCAGCTGACTTCAAAACTGCTATGAAAATACAGATTTAGTTTGGTTTTTTTTTAATTTGCCGGGTTAAAATTCGTCTTATTGTAACCGTTTAATGTGGTCATAACTGAAAACCTCTGATCTGGCATTAAATTCATATGAAACTAGTTTTTTGTGATTGAAACGTTAAGGAAATTATTGAACAATACTAAACGAAGTCCTATATGCGTATGATTTTGACATTAAATACTAATCGAACCAATAATTGTTAGTACGTATAATCGACAATTAAAAAAAACTTTCTGTGGTGATTGTTGATTGAAAACTTTGGCAACTACATAACTTTCGGGTTTTTGTTCCGAAACCTTAAAAAAAAACAAAAACATACAATTATCTTGAATGTATAGGTGAGTATAATAAGCGGTTTGTACCTTTATAGCATTACGATTTTCCCCTCGCACGTGTACAGTGCAGTTGCCGAATTTCTAATAAGAAGTGTCGTGTTAACGTCACTGCATACGGAAACCCTGTCTGCGAAATATTGTACCGGAAGACAATATTTCAATAGCAGAACATTTCATGAATATTTTGTAAGATATAAAAGAAAATCTATGTACACGTGTTTCAATGATACAAAAAGAGGTGGAAGATACCAAAGGGGCACTAGTCAAACTTGTAAGTTGAAAACGAACTGACAATGCCATGGCAAAACCCCCAATCAGTCCAAACGACAAACAACAGTCTACAAAACACAACATAGAAAACAAACGACTGAGCAAAACAAACCCGTGATCTCAGGTGCTACGGAAGGGTACGGAGATCATGCTCTACATATGGCACCCGTCGTTTTGCTCCTGCAAGTACACCACCGGTGATAAGTATTATTCAGTAGATCACATTAAAGGAAAAAAACCGGCATTGTTGTGACGACAATTGGAAAATATCCGTTGTCATCTGTGAAAAAGATATTTCATAAAGATCAACCAACTCGGGATGGCGTCCAGAAAACTTTTGAAGAGATGCTTTCAACCTAACCACTTTGAAGTCTTGGTCTAATAGTTTCCATGCAAACAATAACCTTCTTTCAAAGAAATTATGATAGCATGAATGCAAGCTCTGGAATATCATATCAACTGGAAGATATTTTTTCCATATTTAGGCGCTGCTGAAATTTTGTTATATAGAAATATAAATTTTACAATTGGGTATCGGAAATGATCTCATTTGTTTTGTTCTCAACCTATCTTCAATATCAATTTCTATTTGAAAAATAAGATATTAGGCAGAATTAGGTTGTTAATTTCTGAGTCATTTGGTCTCTTGCGGAGAGTTGTTTCATTGGCAATTATACCACATCTTCTTTTTTCTATATTAGATGGATGTTGTATCCTTAATTTCAATAAACTTATCTGAGAAACTAGGATTAAAATTGTCTACACCAATAAAGTTAAAAAGCAAGCCAAGTAAAGAACGAAGTCGAAAAGCAGCTGGGACCCGAAAACCGAAAGGTTTTGAAAAATACAGCTGAGGTAATCTATTCCAGGGATAGTTCGATGGCGGTACATGCGTTATATATAGTCATCAAACTTTAAGTTATCCAATCAACTATTTTGTATTTAAACATTATTCATCTTTTTTGTTTAATAAAAAGTGTCAAATGTCTTTAAGCAAATAAATCTATAAATTTGAAATTCTTACTTACATTTTTTCTAATCAGATACGATGAATTTTTCTACCACTTAATATCTTATTATAGTCAGATATCCTACATTTGGACTATAATATATATGTATAAGTTTATCTGTATTTATTTTATGATATACCATGATTATTTTGTGTCAGTTGTCTAATATGTACGTTATTGTTAAAGCAGTATAGAAATTTTAAAGAAATAGAGGTATTAATTATAGAAACATCCTTTTGTTTGCAACTTGTAGCTACATTTTATATTGGGTCATTTCTATTCTGAAAAGGCTTTCATGTGCTTGAAAGTTTTCTAAATGTTTTACGTACTCGATTTCAGATACCTTTTTTTTATTAATGAAAAATTTAAGATACATGTCGACAAAATCTGAAAGATACTATTATGACATGCAAGTTGGTATTTCATCAAAGTATAGCTTTTTGGAAACATGAACATTTGTGATTGGATTGCTTTACACATAATTGGTTCAGTCAATAAAATTTACCGATATGCAAAATAACGATTGTATTTTAATTTCTTCATGATCAGCGTAATTTAAATTGTCAGAAAGGCAACTCCTATATTATCAGAAAAGTGAGATGTTACATCTGTCGAAGCAACTAGTTTCATTTGTATGGCGTTTGCATTTTTGTTTGCTGTCGTAAGATATATTAATGATTGGTTAATATCTAATAGAAATTGTTTGTTGTATAAGTATAATATGTTTTTTTAAGTTCGGTTTCTGCAACGTGTAGAATTTTTTCGTTTCCATGTCATGAAGCTGAATTTGATATTATTCTAGTCGACAAAATATCTATGTTTTTAAGTTCGGTTTATTTTACGTGAAGAATATTTTCATTTCCATATCATGAAGCTGAATTTGGTAAATAATAGTCGACAAAATATGTACATGTTTTTAAAGTTCGGTGTATTTATTTTTCTTAAGTTCTTTTTATTTTACATACTAGTCGACAAATTATGTTTATGTTTTTAAGGTCGTTTTATTTTACGTGTAGAATGTTACGTGTGTCATGTCACGAAAATAAATTTGATATATACTTATCGACAAAAGTAACGAAACATATTCATAAAATTTATTTTAGAAAAGTAGAAAATATTGATGTGATAAGGATATACATACGAACGGAGTGAAGTTCTATACAATCTAAATATATACAGGTAGCTTTAATTGAAGAGGTATATGTTAATTATTTATAATGGGATTTTTACCCGACAAATGAGACTGTAAAAATGCGGGGCTCCCTTAGTTGCTTCCCTGGGCAAAATAAATATGAAAAGATGTATTGTAACTCCATGATATTAAAGACGTAAAATAACGACAAAAATCAGCCTTTGATTTTAAAATGAGAATTGAATATAAAAATATGTGCAAAGGCATTAATTTTCTTTATGAGACACTGTTTATGTTTCAAGATTTAAGAGCTAAATATATAAAAAATGAGATGGTGTATGAATGCCAATGAGATAAACTAACTATCCAAGTTCACATGACGTGAATGTAAATAATAATAGGCAACTAAACGGTCTTCAACAATAAGCATATTCGGCTCCGAAATGAAAAATGTGAAACAATTAATTGAGAAAAACTAACGATTATAATTTTAACAAAACAATTTACGAAATACAAATATGACAGACATACACCAACGACAACCACTGAACTACATGCTCACTACTTGGGACGGACACATTCAGAATGCGGCGGTTTTATACATGTTTTTAAGCGCTCAACCCTCCCTAAAGAACATACTGTAAAAATAAATTGCAATTAACATAACTCAAAAGGTCCACAATAACTATCATAAAAACAATAGACACAAAGCATCAAAATAAGAGTGATCGCAGTTACCGAAAGCTAGTACAAAGCGAAATACAACTGATGAACAAATCATATTCTCCAAAACGATGATCGCTTTTTGAAATTGTGGTTAAATAAATGTTTTCGTTTTAAATCAATATAATTGAAAATAAAAAAAAAAATCGGTTCTTTGCCGCCATTCAATGGTTTCAGCCAGTATGATCGCCGATAAAAAAATTTAGTCGTTAGTACTACCATAATATTGCACACTTTCTAGATAAAGTACAAAATATCAATACGAGGGTAAACAAAATGAAAACAACACAGTTAAACCATATTGCGTCCGAAGTGTACCTTAGAACCAACCTGCACCAAGAACACCCTAAGTAAAAAAAAAATACGAATCCAGGATGCATAAACCCTGTCACGTCAAAAGTCATACGACCAAGAGACATATAAAAGCACGAACACAAATAAAGGGAAAACTGTAAATAAATAAAAAGATGCGCAACTCCAGCACATAGAATATATAACTTAAGACCATCTTGTATTATATGTGACAAAACCCCACTAAATAATTTCCTATTAGGTCTTGGTACTTTCCGATGAACTTTTTAAGAAAATGGAATAGACGTTCTTTGACAAAACCATGGCTCATTAATTGTTTGCTCCGACACCGTTGACGACTTACAAAGTTTGAGTCCGAATTTAAACTTGGATGCGTTAATGCACTTTTAAACTTTTAATTTACCAATATGCTTGTAAATTTATTTACCTCTCTTGCGAATAAATCAAATATGTTTATCTTTAAATGTAGGGTCATGTATAATTAATAAAAACAATCTGATGGCAAATAGTATGACAAATCATAGCTTACAATATTTTGTAGGCAAGTACAGTTTAAAAATACAAAAATACAACAATTTGATAACTATGTTATATTCATTTGAGATTTATATCCAGGTGATTTGATAAAAGTGTAAACTGAAGTCAATCGGAATAAAATTGTTAAAGGGTTTGTATTTTGTGCGATCTGAACTTTTTTTCTTATTGATGAAATAATCTTAAACCTTTTACGTTGTATAATGATTCTCTTCAAAATAAAATAGCAACAATAACTCACTCTGTTTAAAATGCATTGATAAATTGCAGATACATGAACCAATGGATTAGTTAGTAAAATATCTCTTCTATTCTTATAAGAGAATAGGTTTTGCTGGAATGAATTTTGATCTATCAATAATGGAACTGAACTTAAATATCGAATATCAACTGAGCAGAAAGATCTCCAAATCATATGTCCCCTAAACATTTTGAGAAATAAATCAAACAAGCTGTTTTCGCCTTATATTGACAAATTACATGATTTATAGATATTCTATGGACCTTAGCTTTATTAATTGTTAATATTAAATTTCTAAATCGAATTTGAAAGCCTTTGATGATCAAACATGTTTTATGAATTTATATTTTTTCAATTTTAATGTTCAGTTAAAATTTGTTCTGAAGCAAGCGGCGTTCAGATAAACAAAAACATGGAATATATAACCAACGTCAAAAACCGACAGACTAAACTAATATCTAATCGGTTTTCATTGCCATTTTGCTTATGACTTTTTGAATTTTACATTGTTTAATTTCCCTGCGTTTTTTAACCTCAGTGATACGCACCAGATTAAGTTTTTGTTTTGAAATACTGTTTCGTGATCATAGTTTAAACATATTTCATTTATGAAAAATAAAATGAATTATACAACAGTAAATCGTGTCTTTTGTGTCCGCTTCGAATTGCATTATTAAACAATACAATGTTAAAATGAGCACGCAATTATTAAAAATCAACAGTACTTTACTAGTCTAGACATTGCAAAAGGATGACAAAAAATATCACTGTAAAATTAAAGAGAGGCAAAAGATACCAGAGAGACATTAAAACTCGTAAGTGGAAAACAAACTGACGGCGGCATGACTAAAACAGAAAAAGACAAACAAACAAACAGACAAACAATTGTACACATAACATAACATAGAAAACTTAAGACTAAGCAACACGAACCCAACCAAAAACTACGGGTGATCTCATTGTTACATTGGTAATGATGTAATTGTTCCACAAATACACTATTCAGTTCCATATGACAAGACCTTTCTTAGGATTATGAATAAATTCGAATGAAAGTTTAAATATGTAGACGTTTTGTAGTGATATGAGAGGTTCAAAAAACCAATTGTCAAAAACTCAATATTCAATATAAGGTTAGCAGTAAACTATATCTAAGATTGTTCATCAAATTTTATCTTGTCTGTATATAAATGACAGTCAAAGAGGAAATGGTATACATTCTCAATGTTGCACCCACACACAAACAATATTGGTCAGAAATGAAATTTTCTGTTTGATCATACGCATAAATCCCTAAGGCTCAATCGATACCACTTCTGTTTGATTGATATCGTCTATCTAGTATCAGCATACTTTTCTTCCAGGTTTATTTAAAACTTAGGTTATTAATCAACGTTTTTAAAAACTTAAGGATGTTCGCTCCTCTTGTTTTTGGTTTTTTGCCAGATATTCGGAATCCTCTAGTTTTATCCATATATTGTCATAAAAAAAGTATTACCCGCTAACCCCACTTTTCTTTTCCTTATTATATTACATATGGTTTAAAACGCCATATTTGAAATTACTATAAAAAACTATATTTTCATTATTTTTTAAAGAAAAAGGGGTGTCAATGTAAAATGAATGAAAAGTTAAGCGAGAATCATTTCCCGCCAAACTTTCTATTGGCTTATATCTCGAAAACAAGCACACGGACCCTTTTTTTCTGTTTTTTTTTTTTTAGTTCTTTTATTTGTATACTATCAATATATAACAGTCTCTTTAAGAGCTTGTTTTTTATAAACAGAGTAGCGAACATCCTTAGTAATAATAATTCCGCAATACCAATTTCATCTTAAATGTGTTAATGCACTAGTGACTTCTAATTTTTCTTGTACCTTTATTGTTGTATTTTGGATGTAAAAACTCGTCTTAAAAGTCAAATAAAATATAATTATTTACAAAATTAGGGTTACAGGAAATCATTTACAATCAACAGGAAATAGTTTCACACTTTTCAATTTACTATATTTTGCAGACAAAAAGTAAACAACATATTCATCACTAAGTAATATGAATTATAGTTATTACATGCCCAATTTGATATTACATGCCCAATTTGATATTGAGTTTGTTGGTATTGAAGACAAAGTACGTGAAACGTAAACATTTTATGAATGTACAACAGTTAAGATGATCATGCAAATTGCATTTTATTTCCTTTGATAAGAATAAAAGTATTATCTATTTACTGGCATCATTGTATCATTGCGTTGTTTGGTGAATCAATTACAGTTAAGAGTATAGCAGATGGGAAATATTTACATCTTCGCCAACACTCTCAAACGTTGGTACAGTTAGTTATGTTATAAGTTTGAGACTGATCTATAAAATAAAAAAAAAAAGATATATAAATGGTAAAACGAGTAATGTTCAAGCCTTGTCTATTTCTTCATTCAATTGCTCTTTCAAATTGAGAGGAATTGTAAAGATCAGACAGACATCGATAATGATGTAAAAATAAATGTTTATACATTTATAAATAAATGCTCTCGTATGTTATGGTGACAATAAAACATGCAAATATGTGAACGTGATGTATATGAACCTGTTGTGTTGCTTATGTAAGTACATATTTGATGACAAGTCTAACTCGATTGGTCGAAGAAAGGTTGACGAAATTGTGATAACAACAATTTGACCATTTCCGTAGTCGTCTGTGTAACAGATTTTCCATGGTGATCAAACTTTTCGTAATGAAAAGAAGCTAAAGTTAAGGAATGTATCTCCCTCATGCAAAGCTCTGCGATATCTTATTTTAAAATCTATGATTATATCCTTGTCATTGCCCCCTTTTTTAATAGTTGTAACTTTTTTTTTCGGTGGACTAGCACGGACGGGTCAAAATGTATCTGCAATTTTGTTCTAGCAAATGTTTGGTTCTTCCCTCAGAATCCTCATTAGTGTGACATCATGGAAACATCGCCTGTATAGTGGTCAGTGCCCTAGGCACTCAACCGACTAGGCTATATAACTATTTGAGAAACACATTTCCTTATCGGCTTTATCTAGGGTTTAAAAACATAATATGTTAAATGATAAACCTTCTACATCAGCAATGTTTAGTGTGTCGTAAAGAATGATAATTATTATTACCCTGTCGTTACATCAAATTTTAATTATATGTCATACTTCTTAACTGATGACACATTTACGACAGTTCTCCGTTCGATAACTAGAGCTTTATATACAGGTCTACATTTTTGTTCTTTCCTCTTTCCGTATATAGATAGTATGCATTTCCAATGGAATTAACATATTGAATAAAATATATGATCAGTGGTACAAAAAATGAGGTCGAGATTATGTTAATCTTGTCTAAAAGACACGTATACTTCCATGGAAGCCATGTATCAATTATAGTTATCCCTTTATAAACATAAAAGTGAGTACTTCTCATAAAAAAAGAAATATAATGTGTTTCCATGCAGTCAATGAACAATGAAATGGTTGTCAATACCAATGAACTGCCGGAAACCTTCTAAAGTAAGGCCTCTGCATTAAATGTATGAAGCATCAAAGTATCATATCATCTCAAATATATTTAACTCTTTACAAATAGTTTACGCCGTCGCCGCTGCTGGACTGAAATCCCTATGTCCCGGAGAGACAAATTCGGACACAAATGTGCTAATATATCAGGAACATTAAATTACGTAAAGCATTCTAACGAAGTTAAAAAAAGATATAATACTAAAACATCTATCTATTATATATACAAGTATTTGTATTTGTCTCGTTTACTTTAATTGTAACTTACATTGAGGTATTTCACAGATGGAAGTGATATTGTTTTTTAATCTATAGCACTTCGCATCAGAATTTCCACTGCAAGTTTTAATACTTTGTAATTTACTGGCACTCGAGTTTTCTTTACAAATCCGTGTTATATCTTGACAATAAAGACCGCTGAATCCTGCATATTAGACAAAAGTAAAAATCTTAGAATGTTTTTTTTTCTCTTAAAAGCATTTGACCTATTTTTTTGTTTCGTCGTAAAATATCCTGAATATAGCTCATATCAGTATCATAAAAACATACATGTATTCATTTAAATGTGGATTGAGTAAAAATCAAAATAACTGAGCCGATTTCCCAAATCCCCGCTCTGCATATTCACACCCAACATTTTATCGACATGATGACAAAAACCATGGTTAAAGTAAGTTATCCGACAGTAACATTGACATCAAGTTATACTATCTGGTACACCACCAATGCATCCTTTTTAAATGCGTTGTAATATATGTGTCGCTATTGGATTCAATTTTAAATACATTAAGTTTTAAGCAGAATTTACACAGAACTTTATCAAAGACAAAAAGAATAACATGTCCCGATGTGCACAGCTTGCTACGAACCGTGAGTAGTTGGGGCACGTATGGTCCAATAAAAAAAAAGACTTTTACCTAGTATGGCTCAATATTCATAATCTAAATGATAAGGTCGAAAGAAATTTCTAATGATGAGGAAAAATCTGTAAAACGCTGGGGTGAAAAACAGAAGTGGCTGGAATCATATGTAGAAAATTATGGAAAGCCAGAAAATCTACAAAACCAGCAATAAAAGTCCAAGAAACAAAAACAACGGAAACCTAAGAATTATACCGAACAAAGACAGAGGATTAAAACACCACTAAGAACACATTAGAATAAAAACAAATCACAAAGTCGGTCAAGAAGCAGGAGTAAAAATCGGCCAAAAACTAAAAACTACCAAACCTTTGTATTCCGAAGTGGTTAAAAATCGTGATAAAAAACCAAATATCAAAAGGCCTTACTTGAAACCTAATAGAAACCTGACTCAAAACAATCGAAATAAAATTCTACCATCGAAGAATAAAAATGAAGACCAGAACGATGTGAAACGGAGAACAAACAGATTATTTTTTTAGGTGTGGGTCGGAACAAAACCGCCTAACAAATAGAGGAACGTTCCGAAACCAATCTGAAACAAGTGACAGGGTCGACCCAAAAATAATTAACATGTCTAATTGCAAAATTGATTCCGATGAAATGAAAGTGGTGAATAAAGGACTGAAATATACTCCGACACCTACAGCCGACACTGATACACTCTCATTGGATATTAAAGAATTTTGCCAAAAATTAAGACTAAAAAATCATTTTGGGGATCAAGAATCATAGACAGATGACGAATCAATTGTTAGAAATAAATCTAAATTTACACCGGAAAAAGGAAAAAATAAAAATTTAGACTTGTACATTGATCATCTGTCAAACTTTCCATTAATACCGAAACCACAGGATACAGTTAAAAAATAATTTACCTCTTAAACAACAGCAAGCGCTAAACAGATTACAAAAAGATGAATCGATAATCATAAAAGAAACTGATAAGGGTGGTGCAATAGTAATAATGGACAGAATATATTACCGAGACACAATTCAGGAACAGCTCAACGTTAAACAATATTATCGGAAACTCAACGATAATATGGACAAGAAAACTACGCGAAATATAAACAAACTTTTTTCAAAATTACTTCATTGTACTACTGATAAAGAAGTTGCCTATCTTACGAAATTTGAGATAAAGACAAGCAATTTTTATAGACTACCTAAAATCCACAAAAGTAAGGAAATAGAAACAGCAGTTCAACAACAAAATTGCGCATATATCGAAATAAAATCACCAAAAGATTTAAAATTTCGGCCGATTCTTGCTGGACCGCAGTGTCCAACTCATAGATTGAGCCATTTCATTGACTTAATTTTGAAACCGTTATGCTAATATGTACCTAGTTTTATCCGTGACAATTTAGATTTTTTAAATCAATTACCAGCCGAAGTCAAAGAAGATGCAATATTGGTAAGCTTCGACTAACCAGTCTTTACACCAATATACCGCACAAACTAGGATTAGATGCTGTGAAATTTTGCCTTGAATCATATAGGCATATTATTGACCAAAGATTTTTGAATAATTTTTTGTTGGAAGGATTGAAAATCATACTCGATAATAACACCTTTTTCTTTGATGGAAAATATTATCTGCAGATCTCTGGTACAGCTATGGGAACAAAAGTTGCTCCAACATACGCAACTCTCGTGATAGGATTTCTAGATGATAAAATGTATCAACAAGTTGAAATTGAATTTGATACAGCTTTTAAAGTGTACATAAAATCGGAATGGAAGCGATTCTTGGACGACTGTTTCATTATTTTAAACAAAAGTTACAATTTGGAGAAGTTTCATAATATGATAAACACATTAAATCCTTCGATTAAATTTACCATCGAATCAAGCGAGCATAGGTTGCCATTTCTGGATATTTTAATATTAAAGAATGGAACAACCTTAACCACAGATATATACTTTAAGAAGACGGACACCCATCAATACCTGAATTTTCATTCATTTCATCCCTCACACACGAAACAAAACATCCCGTTTTGTCTTACAAGACGTGTATGTACAATTGTAAGTGATGAGTCCACGAAGAAACTATGTTTTAATGAACTAAAGGTGTTTTTGAAAGAACAAAACTATCCAAACCCACTAATAGATAAGGGAACAGAAAAGGCAAAAGCAATACCAAAAACGGAACTCATGTCCACAGCACATATTGAGAAAACTTATTCTGTTTGTTAGCCCAGGCAGATAACCTCAGCCGTATTTGGCACAACCTTTTGGAATTTTGGGTTATCAATGCTCGTCTTTCTTTTTTGGCTTTCTTTACTATTTTGACATGAGTGCACTGGTGAGTCTTATGTGGACGAAACACGCGTCTGGCGTATAAAATTATAAGCCTGGTACCTTTAATAACTATTAGCATGTCGTAATGTTCTATTGTATTTTTAATTTGTGTATGTCTCTATCCTGAATGTTATTTGTATTGTAGTCCTGTCATGTGATGTTGTCATTTTAGTGTTATATTTAACATTGCCATGAAAACGGGAGGTTTGGCTAGCCACAAAACCGGGTTCGACCCATCATTTTATTCTTAAAATGTCCTGTACCAAGTCAGGAAAATGGCAATTGTTATCTTATAGTTCGTTTCTGTGTGTGTTGCATTGTCGTTTGGTTTTTTGTTGCACTTTAGTATTTCTGTTGTTCCGTTGTTTTCTTCTTATATTTGATGTGTTTCCCTCAGTTTTAGTTTGTAACCCGGATTTGTTTTCTCTCAATCGATTTATGACTTTCGAACACCGGTATACTACTGTTGCCTTTATTTAGCACTCATAACCCATATAATCCTGACATATTCAACGTCATAAAAGCAAATTTGCCGGTTTTACAAAAAACGAAAAAAATAAAAAAGCTTTTCCCTACAGAAAAATTCCTGAAAAGTAAAAGACAGCCTCGAAATCTAAAAAAGATTTAAACAAGGGCTAAATTTTATGACCCAACTGACTAATATACAACGTTTCAAAATGTAATGACCCTAGATGTGGTCTTTGTGAATATATGGACACCGGCCGCAAATAACATTACTAAACGGCAAAACCATTGTTCTAAATACAGAATTTAATTGCAAAACGGTAAACCTAATTTACTGTATTGTATGCAGCACTTACAAGGAATGGTACATCGGACAGACTGGTAATCCAATATGTCAAAGAGTCCGTATTCACAGACAACATATACGAGATCCAACCCGACGAATGCAAGATATGAGCGAACATTTAGAAACGTGCAGTAGTGGAAAATTTACCGTATTTCCGTTCGATAAAATGAACGAATCTAATAAATATAAAAGACTGGCAAAAGTAGCACACTTTATAAAGGTCTTTAAGCCAAAATTAAACGGATCTACCTAAACACGTTTGATTTATCTCCCCTTACCTTTATTGCAACATAATGAACGTTACTAACGGAAGTGTCGTCAAGGACATGGTTAAATCGTCGCCAGAAGATTGCCTGAAGGCATGAAAGCGCTAGTGACATTATTTTAACGAACTGTTATTATTTGATGTAAAATGTAGTCTGTCAATTTCAAATTTTAATATATATATATATATATATAGATAGATAGGTCTAAATACAGCACAAACAACATTTTCCAAAAGACCAAAACAGTGAAAAAGTATATATTAACAAAACGCATTTGACTAACAGGTCGAACAACAGATGTTCTTAAACCCTGCTGACTGCCATTGACGATTGCCAAAAAAATTTATCACCAATGGATCTTAATTATAAATTTAATACCAAACAGAAAACAATAAACTAGCGGAAAAGATGGTATACCGCAAACATGAGTTGCTAATTTTTTACACCATATCCGGATTTCGACAATTTATGTCTCTTCAGTGATGTTAGGGATCGAAACAGTATTTGGAAGGCCATATGATTTACCTCAATTTAGGATAGATTCTTCAATTTTGAAGAGTGGAACTAGGATGAACGGATCATATAAACCCGGGGGAAATATAGTACAAGCCCAAACGAAAAAAAATAAACAAGTCTAAATTGAAAACAACGTTCAAACCTATGATTGCGTTGGATAAAAACCGCAATTTTTATACGTGTGCATGTAAAACAAATTTTTGGTAGATAGGTTAAAATACAGCACAAACAACATTTTCCAAAAGACCAAAACAGTGAAAAAGTATATATTAACAAAACGCATTTGACTAACAGGTCGAACAACAGATGTTCTTAAACCCTGCTGATTGCCATTGACGATTGCCAAATAAATTGATCACCAATGGATCTTAATTATAAATTTAATATCAAACAGAAAACAAAAAACTTGCGGAAAAGATGGTATAACGCAAACATGAGGTGCTTATTTTTTACACCATATCCGGATTTCGACAATTAATGTCTCTTCAGTGATGTTAGGGATCGAAACAGTATTTGGAAGGCCATATAATTTACCTCAATATAGGATAGACTCCTGAATTTTGAAGAGTCAAACTAGGATGAACGGATCATATAAACCCGG